AGACGTGTGATGGTGCAATAGGGAAACTTTCTCAAAGAATTCCCCTTAGAAATATATAAAGAATAATATAGAGACCAAAGTACAAGACCAAAATTTAAATCTAGCCCTACTAGTTTTTTTATTCAGATTCCCTAATCTAAAACCCTGTAAACACCTTTCTATTCTCTCAGAACTTCAGTTTGTCCTTTTCAAGATGCACATTTTTTTAATTGTTTGGCATTGATTGCCAAATAGCTTAATAAAAAAAAAAATCAGGGTTAAGCAAGCCATGGCTGAATGTGCTATGTGAACCTATTCATATGCTGCAGTTAATACTATTTTTAATATGACTATTCCTTGCAGCCTTTTTCTGTTAATATATGTGACATTTTATTTGATTTTTAATGAATATTTAACAGTTCTGCCATGCAATGTATGCAGGGTAGCAAATTTAATTTGTACTCTGCATTTATGATTTGTTTTCTTAGTTATTAGCTTTCCTTTGCTGCTCAAATGTTCTCCCTCTGCTTGGCCTCCTTGAAAATGAAACATTGTGCAACACTCAGCAAAACCAGAGTATATAGTGGAAACCAACACAATTTAGGCAGAACACATTACTTCTGCATTATTTGACTTTTAAAGATTTAGAAAACCAATTTTTTCTCTAGCAAGCACACCACCTCAAAATAGAAAATCAATGGATGCACAAATGTAAACCTTGCTTTCTGAAATACTAAAAGCGACAATGAATCTTAGCCTGTCAGTAAATTAACAACTATCCTATCAAACATTAAATACTGTTCTGTAACCTTTAGAACAGTGTTTCCCAACCTTGGCCACTTGAAGATATGTGGACTTCAATACCCAGAATTCCCCAGCCATCATGAAGAACTGCTTTAGAAGCATGCTGTATAATATGTATGTCTTTGTTCTATAAGTATGACTGGAACCAGTCATAACATTTTAAAAGAAACTCGGTTATGCAGTTGCATGGGAAATTGATTACAGTATATTCTTGAACAAATCATATGTCTAGGCATATTCTGAAATCCAATTCCTTTATTCACTGGGTCACATCAATTGAGGGACTTATGGAACTATAACAAGGAGGAAGCGAACCTCACTTGGGGGGGGGACCGCTATACCATAAGGCTGGATTAGGACTCCTTACGCATGGTCACTCATGCCCCCGTCACTTCCCACCTGGACTACTGCAATGCTCTCTACATGAGGAGCACCTGGAAACTCCAACTGGTGCAGAGTGCAGCCGCGCGGGTGGTTATGGGAGCGACATGGCGTTCCCATGTGACACCTCTCCTGCGCGAGCTGCAGTGGCTCCCAGTGGTTTTCCAGGTGCGCTTCAAGGTTTTGATTACCACCTTTAGAGCACTCCATGGCTTAGGACCTGGATACTTACAGGACTGCCTGCTGCCACCAATAGCCTCTCACTGGCCAGTATGCTCTCACAGAGAGGGGCTCCTCAGGGTGCCGTCGGCCAAACATTGTTGGCTGGCGGCCCCCAGGGGGAAAGCCTTCTCTGGGGGGGCACCTGTTATCTGGAATGAGCTCCCCCCGGAGATATGGAGGATCCCGGATTTACGCACCTTTTTATTCCAACAGGCTGGTCTGGCCTAACTTTCCCTTTTAAATGGTATATGAGTAATTTTAAATCTGTTTTTAAATATGGGGATGTTTTAATTCGTCTCAGGCCAAATTGTTTAATATGTTTTTATACTGTTTTAAATTTTATAATCTGTGTGTTTTATCTTTTTGGCTGTTCACCACCCTGAGTCCTTTGGGAATAGGGCGGTATATAAATCTAATGAAATTAAATAAATAAATAAATAAATAAATAAATAAATAAATAAATAAATAAATAAGACTGGTGCTAGTGCAGAGAAGGCCTGTTTCCTAAAACCAGCCACATATAAGTCCTTGGCAGGTGGCACCTGAAACATATTCCCTGTGTGGTTGGATGTAACTGGAGACAGGTGCCTCCTCAGATAACTGGTCCTATGTATGATGTTCATATACTATCAGATGCAAGTCAGAAAAAACTTCAGTAGGTGATTTTTTAATTGGTTCACAAGTGTTAAATTTGAAATCTGGAAATAAGAACAATGATGTGGCTCAACAACCAAAAGAAGAATCTCAAAACTAAAAATACAGGCCAATGTGATAATACAACTAGTGCTGGAGATGAAGTAGAAACACCTGATTTGAAATTGCTGATAGATCAATGACAAATCGATCATTACTTCAGTCTAATTCAGCTCCCTGGGCTGCTAGAAAGGGGTTTTTTGTTTTATTTTAGGGATGAATATTCTCATAATGTGGAAGATGTCATTATTTTCTCCTTTTGAACAATGCTATTAGGAACTTGCTGTGTGCTTTGCTTAGCTACCAAATAAACTGGAAAGGAAAAGCATTAAGCTAGAAAAATCAAGCTATTATCTGACTGCTCACCGAGAGAAATCAGGAACTTTATGTGCATTTCATCACTTCATTTCTGAGGTGCTTAGGGGCAAGGATGTAAGATAACCTTGAATAAACCTTGTTCAAAGAGTATTAACTAAGAGTACTAACCCGCCCTCTTCTACAAAATTTACCACTACCTCATGGCTGCACAGTGCCATGTAGTTGGCTGCCAACATTTTATGCTAGATCCTAAACCAACAGATGTCACAATAAGCAAAGAGCAGATGATCAAGGGGAGGTTATACATCTGAACAGATGTATCTGTACATCTGAACAGACAACACCAACAAAAGGGAAGAGAAAATGCAGAGGAACCAAATGCTGAAACTGACCTTTTGGCTAAGCACAAGCGTTAGTTAAGAATTCAGCAGATTACAAAAGATCTGATTTTTAAAAAAAAATGTGCCAATTTTATACAAGGGATTTCAGAATGCCCAATCTCCAAGATGGAGGAAAAAATGTGCCTTTGAATTAAGTTCAACTAAGGGTGCCTTATATGGATGTATTGATGCAGATTCAATACAGAAGACTTAGACGAACCCCCCCACCCCAATTTATTTGACAAGCCTATAACTCTGGACTTTCCAGGATGCCTCCATCCAAGTACAGACCAGGAATTGATATGTGAAGATCAGGTAGAGCCTGCCATCTATTGAGGCCATGTTGCACTATTAAGATCAGAATAATCTATACATTGAACACTAATGTTCAAATAACCAAGACAATCTTACAGCCATTTTCCAGTCTTGCATTCTCCAGATGTACTGAACTGTGATTTCATAATTCACAACTCACATCCTTTTCATTCTGATAATGTAATCAGTGACAATATCTAAGTCTGTTCTCTAAAGAGAAAGTTAAATGGAAAGAAAGCTAAGTACTAAATCTAAATGTGTATGAGCAAATCTGCCAAATTAATCTGCTCACTGACTACACTATGTACTGCCTATTCCTTGCTGTTTCTAATATGAAGACATAAGCAAGCTGTTTTATCAGATCAGGCAAGACTGCCATTCCCATGTTAATGTGAGAAGAGATGGGGGAGGGGAGAGAATGTGCTGTTTTCTTCTAAGATAGAGGAGACTACATCAAAGGGGAGAAGATTAAAGGATAGATTACTTCTGCAAGGACACACTGTAAACTTTTAACCTGATCAGTTTTGGCAAAGCTCCACTATAGAAAGTCATCAGAGTAAAATGTGTCATCTTAAAGGTGTCATCCCGGCAGCTTCAAATATCCTGGACTCTGTAGTGTGATGTCTACGGGTGTTTTTTTTAACAACAAAAAAAAAGTTTGGTAGCAAAATATCCAATTTTCTAATGGTCTTAAATTCAGTTACCTTTTCTCCATCACTAAAGGCTTCAGGATTAGTGAATGCATAATTAAACTAAACTCCACCCCTGAAATGTTAAACAGGGGGAAGCAAGAGTCATGCTATCAAAGGAAATATAACACATTTTAGATTGTGGCTAGATAACTACCATAAGAAGCTATCTCTGTAAAATCACAGAACAGCTTAGGCTCCAAATTTATGTTCCTTTGGCAGTAAGCCCCACTGAACTTTGGATACAGTGCTGAGTAAACGCTACAATCAGACTTTCAAACACCGCAGGATGAAGCAGCAGAAACTGGCAAGGTTTTTTTTTATACCCCCTACCCACTTCAGCCTCCATGTTTCCTGGACCTCTATGGTCAAACCCTTTTTGATTTTCTTTTCTGTCCACATCTCACAAAGAAAAGCATAAAAAAAAAAAAATCTGGTACAGCCACAAATATAAATTGGCATGGGAAGCAGCCCTTCAAATATGCTGCCAACAATTATAGTCCAATTCTTCCTATCCCCTTTCTGGTTGGGAATGATGAGGGTGGCAGAGCAATTTAGTGGGAGGTTACCAGCTGGGAGAAGACTGGAGGAATAGCAGCAGCAGGATAATGTTCTTGGGAAGCCAAGGAAACTCCCGGCTTCCTATGGTTTGGGGACAAAGCCGAGCCCCATTCAAACTTTCCAGTTTCTCCAAGGAAGGGGCGCATTTGCTGACAAGGAAGCGAGGATGTAGTAAGGACAGAGACCCTGCCGCCCTCCAGGGCAAGGATGGGCATGATGCAACAGATACGGTGGGAGGAGGGGGGGATCTCTCCGGCGGAGTTCCGACAGAATCCGCCCTTCCTCACGCCGTTCGGGATTAACAGGGCAGTTCATCGCAGGCACCAGCCTTTAATCCGGCCGCTTCATTCCGCAAACCTGCAGGAGGGACGGACGCGAGCGAGAAATGTGGGTGGGCGAGCCCCGCCGGCTTGCAAGTCAACGCGTTGCAACGGGCGCAGGAAGGGGCTGCCTGCAACCAACCCCGCTTCCTGAGCTTGCAAACCGCGACTACCCGTAGACCGGATCGGAGGAACAATTTCGGGCGCTCGGCCACCCGTCCTTGCGCCGAAGGAGGGATCTCTGCACAACGCCGAGCTTGCCCAGGCAGCCCATCTGCATCAACGAGCAAACCAGAAAGGGAGAGGAGGAGGGGGGGGGAGGCGGCAGCAACACTCACCGAGCGACCAAGCCGTTGCGGTCCCTGCTTCTTGCCCGCCTCTGCCTGGAAACTCCCGAGAAACCGCCAATCCTCCGGTTTAGCTGCCTCTTGGCTTCGCCTCCCTCCACTCCGGCTTTTCCTTCAAGTGGTACAGACCAGGATGTCCGTGGAGTTTTTTTTTTTTTTTTTCTTCTTTCCCTCCCCTCCCCTTCAGCTCCAGCTCACGCGCCGCCTTCGGTGGGTGACTGGAATCGCAGCGCCTCTGCTGCTGGTTCTCCCGCTTTACGCACGAAAGTTCGCGTCCCCCAGAGAGCTCACGTGAAGTCGACCGCGTCAGAGCTCGCCCTGGCCGCGCTCACGCCTCCCTCCGCTCCGGCTCCCGTCACGGCACGCGCCTCCTGAGATGAGGTCAGAGGCGGCTCCCTGCCCACCCCAAAAGCACATGCATTGCATCCAGGCGGAAAAGTAGTCGAGCTCTAATAAAAGGAAGAGTAGCAATCCGGTCTTGTCTAGCTCTGGTTAGGAGTTTAGCAAAAAAAAAAAAAAAAAAAATTACACGGAGGTACTGGAAAAAAAATCATACAGTACCATGTAAGGGCCACATGAGAGTGAAGTCCCTTTGCAATTGATAAGATATTTCTGCGGGAGAAAATATACACAGGATTAAGTTGCACTTGTTAATCTACTAAAAATTGTCTGTCTGTCTGTCCATCCATCCAATCTGTCCAAATCTTCACTTTCCATAGCAGTGATTCGCCTCTTTAATTTTTTAAAATTTTAATTCCATTTACTTCACTTGCATTTTTCAAAATACCAGTCTACATTTTCTCTGCCCTTTGAATCTCAACCCATTCTCTGCTCTATGTTCTTTCCAGATATCTTTTTCTCAATATACGTGTTATATTTTTTCTTCATTTGTTGTGACTATCGTTCTCCTACACAGTCTTCCACATTCTCTTTCAGCAATTCATTCCATCAAGGTTGTCATTCTTTCCAATGGTGTCACTTGACACATTTAAGTATTGTTCACTCTGTTCCAGGAAGCTGGAACATTCATTCTTTATGGTTTTTTTTTCATTTTGCTAAAAGATAAATCTATCTTCTGAAACTCTTTAATGCAGGACACCATGTGAAGTGAATTATGCTTAATCCATTAACTAGAAATGAATATAAGTTTTTCTGAGCAGATATTCACACCAAATAGTATTCTTATTCCTAGATCTATGAATGATCCAACTTTTTCCTCATATTCTCATGTATCTATTCTTATATAGATAGAAGTCCACATTCTTGATTTTATTCACTCAGAATGTTGCACAATTTCCCCCCAAAATTCATCCCTGGTTCTTCTGTTATCATTAGTCACTGGAGTATAACATGCAACTGTAAGCTCCACAGGAATCAAGTTTAAAAATACTAATTCACTGCTGAGGAAGCTTCCTCTCAAAGAGACTGGTGTTTGTACCACAACAACTATTATCAACCTATAAAGGTTGATAACCTTTATACCTCCACACCCACAACAATCTAAATGCTAACTTGTCATGTTTTCTGATACATTTCAGAATAAAACCAACATAATTGCATAATTAAACCAACATGTTCCTTACGTGTATTCAACAACTACATTCCAGAAGTCAGGACCAACTTCATTAAAATATATCACTTCCTTCTCCCTTCTTTGTTTCACAAACACACAACATATCTATTTTTCTTTTATTTACCATTATGCTCTTTTATCATTTCCTATTCCTACATTTCACATCACAATCTTCCTCACCAGATAAACCCTTAGATAACAGCCTCCACCACCAATCAAGTGTTTCAAATGAGTTTTTAGTAAGATAGAAAGGAAGTTGACTAAATTATTAGCCTTAACTGTACCTCTGTCACAAGCAGCCATCTTGCTAATGGTAGGTTTGGCACATTCTGGCCAATATTCTACAAGTATAACCAAAGCCCAATTTTATTTCAAGCTTTCTAATTCTATGCAAACCATAATATCTAATCTAGAAACTTCTGAAAGTCAATACATTGAGGAGTCCTTGGTGCTCTCTGAGCTTGGTTGTTTTCTTGTAGACGTTTCATTATTCAAACTAGGTAACAACAGTGCTGCAAGGAAACATCTGCAAGAAAACAAACAAGTTCAGAGAGCACCAAGGACCCTTCATTTCAATCCTGAGTTACAAATATTCTTTATTAGTCAACACATTGTTCCCCACATTCTATCACATATGCATTGTAGTAGCACACAAAATAAGCAATGTGCATGTAAGATATTAATAAAGGAAGAGAAGCAGGATAAAGTAGGCTTAATTGAAACTCAGAAGATTTTAAGGGACCTTCCGGAGATAGTATGTGCTTTGATTGATTTATACTTCTTACTGCTCAAGGCATTCCAGAGTTGGAAAATATCCTTACCTCTTCCTGTTTGGATGACAGCCTTTATCAACCAGCAACATGTTTTGAAATTTAGCTGCCTGGGTAGGATAGATACCCATTAACAACATGCAAATACAAAATTAGGCTGCTGTTCTTTATACATTTGGCAACACCAGATTCAAGGTGAAGCTCAAAAGGTTAAAGGTCACAAATCCTAAAGTTACATATCTTGTTTACAATCTCCCAAATGTAAACTTTTGGTGATAAAACACTAATTATTCAGACTGGCTCCTCAGAAACATTAGGATTTCCAAAAGTTTCCAAAGCTCACTGTTATCCAATTGCATTGGACTTCAACAACTTTCACTGTAATGGTGGTGCAGACACTGATTAGAGAATTGGAAGACAACACAGTCTAGACTGAACCAGATGACACAAGGCAGGAAAGATCAGGTCCATATGCGAAGGTCAAATAAACTGATTTATTGCCTGGGAAAACTGATTTATTACCCTTGGGAAAGCTTTCCAACTGAATTCCTGTGCTAATACACTAGGACTCTGACTCCCTTTCTTCTCCCTCATCAGTAAGCTATTGGACAGCATTACTTGGTCTGTTGTGTGGATGTTTGGGTGGTTTAGTGGTGGGAAATTTGTGGTGGGTGGGGGTGTGTTTGGGGATTGTTATGTGTGTTGGACCTGGTCTTTGGGTGTTAAGTGGATTTCGTTGTATGGGTATACTGTGTATACATGTACAATGACAAAGTTATTGTTTTATTTTTATTTTATTTTTATATAATAATTATTTAAAACTTATTATCATAAACTATTGAAGAGCTAGCCTATGAAAAGCAATAAAAATATAAAAACATGGAGCGTTGTACTTCAGTGAACAATTTGAAGCAGTACAAAAATGTCTGCTATGCTACTTTGATTGCAGCTGATCAAGAAACAACAAATAGGGGAAAATGAACTCAAGCCTTGTAGACATTAGCAGTGTTTGCATTTCAGATACCTTCTCCATGCTGTTCTAAGCAGCTTTTAATCCTATAGGCAGCAAAGAGCTTCACTTCTTTTTGTTTAAAAAAGAAAAAGAAAAAAGTCTCATATTCAGCCAACATTTACTGTTACCAAGGTTTCCTCTTCAAAGTATTTTTCTTTTAGAACAGAAAGAGCACATACTGAAATCAAGTCATACAAAAAAAAAGTGACAGGAAGATAAAAGTGGAAAAAGTATCTAGCAATTGTGCTTCTTTCTTAGCACTGATGTGTACCAACATGCGCTTCTCCTAAAGCATTTCATTAGTGATAATTATTGAACTTGATGAAATCAATATATTAAGGGGTAAAAAGATGGGGGAAGCAAACAATGGATCCATTTATATTTGTTGGGTAATGCCTTAATGCTAAGAATGCTTTTCCATAGGATAGTCTTCCCCATCCTTGTGTCCTTTAGATCTACTAGGAATGCAGGTCCTGGAATTTTGTAGCAAACTGATCTCGGAGTTGAAGATCTAATGCACTTCAAAAGCTTCCAGAACCAGTATCTTGTTGATTTTTATCCTGCTTTTGTTATTTTTATAAGCCTCCTCTTTTTCTCCCAACCTTGTAAGTTGAGTTGAGCTGAGAGTAAATGACTGGTTCATTTTAGGGGGTGGGGGAATATTAGATATTATAATACATATTTAAATACCTTTGTAAAAGGATTTCTAGCATGTCCTAGGAGAGATGGAAGAGACAGATTCAAACAAGGTTTTCTTTACAATTTCAAAATAGAAATAAGCTGTCCAATAACAGCTCATGAATTTGTTTAGGATACCAGTACCACCAGTTTAGGATACCAGTTTCATACAAATCTTTTTATATCAAAATTTCCTCTTTGCACCAAATGTTTGTTTTAAGAACCCAATTCAAGAAAATAAAAAAATTGTTATCACTTTTGGAAAAGTATACATGGTGTTGACTTAACATGAGTTATCTGAAGCAATAAAGCAAATCCCCTCTCTGCCCAGCTCTGATATATAAAAGATACTACCAAACTATAATCTTGCTTGGAAAAACAGATAAAACAAACAAGACCCATTTCTACAACAGTACTCTTATGTGTACAGGTAGTCCTTGACTTACAACAATTGAACCCAAATTTTCTGTTGTTGAGTGAGATATTTATTAAGTGAGTTTTGCCTCATTTTACAATTTTTTTTTGCCACCATCATTGTAGTTGATAAGTTAGTACCCCAATTGTTAAGTGAAACTGGCTTCCCCATTGATTTTGTTAGATCGCAAAAGTTGATCACATGACCTTGGGACACAGCAACAGTCATAAATATGAACCAGTTGCCAAATGTTTGGATTTTGACCTCATGATCATGTGGATTCTGCAAAGGTTGCAACTTTGAAAAATGGTTGTAAGTCACATTTTTCAGTGCTGTTGTAACTTTGAACAGTCACTAAATGTTGTAAGTCAAGGACTATCTGTATTCCCAGTTCAGTGAAGATTGAATATTTTTTTGCCTCAAAGCTCCATTTATACCAATATTTGGTTATATAAAGGAACTGTGGTGGCATAGCGGATATAATGCAGTATTACAGGCTAACTCTGCTGACTGCCAGGAGTTTGATCCTCATCAGCTCAAGGTTGACTCAGCCTTTCATCCTTCTGAGGTTGATAAAATGAGGACCCAGATTGTTGTGGGCAATATGCTGATTCTGCATACCACTCAGAGTAGAGGTGTCAAAACTCGTGGACCACAGGTCGGATGCAATATGCGCTGGCCACCCCCACCCCGTTGACATCGCAAGTTTGACACATGTGGCTTAGAGAGTGCTATAAAGCACTATGAAGCAGTATATAAGTCTAAGTGCTATTGCTATATTCATAAAATTCCTGTACTGATTTTCCAAACATAGTAATATAAGAATACAGTAAAGCATCAAAACTCTAACAAAATCAAAATACAGCTCCAACTATATTATTCAAACTTTATAATATACCAGTCAGCTTCCAGAAAGCCCTTTAGAAGATGTGTTGACATCAGCAGATCAATAACTCAAAATGACCAAGAATATTGAGGTAAATGCTACCCTGAAAACACATGAGAAACAATTTATAAGGTCACAGATAAGTATTTTCCATACACTTTGTCGCTTTGTGCATAGTCTAGCATGGGAACTAGCTTTTAAATATTACTCTCGGTAAAGTAAAATTGAATTACGATGGCCAACTTTGAAATAAATATTTTTTCCAACTGGAAGAAGACGTCCATATTGTAATGGTCTATATACTGCAAAATATTATTCTTCAGAATCTGTGACCTATAAATGATTTTAAACAATGTTTCTTCAAAATGTTTCTACACTGAAACATTAAGCACTAAAAAGATTAATTAACCGTTGCCAATTAATTGGATTGCTCTTGCTTTATAGCAGCTATCAAAGCACAATTCAACCTGTTACATAAAAGGTAGACTACAGTAATAAAATCTATGCTTATCTCTGTGCCAAAATACTTCATGCTCTTTATTGCATGTTGACGGACACATTGTCCTAGCCAAAAAAATCTGATCGACTCAAACTGAGTTCTCTTTTCTTGGCAAGGAGATCTTTGGAACAGCAGTGCTGCCACCTACTGCAAGCCAGGCTGTGTATGAGCCCAGCATTCTTGTCTTAAATCTGCAGAGCCCCACAATAGCTAAAAATCGTGAATATAGTATGGTTTTTCAGACTAACACATTTTATTAAAATTTATTTAAAAATCACTTTTGTCCTCTGAAGTTCAGTAGGCTAGAAAGGAAAATATGCAAAACTGCAGAGGAATCCACGCACACATTAGAGGAGGAATAAATGATACACGTTAACACACAATTCAGAATCTTTGCATTATCTAGAAAGACTGAAGAATTTATTTCTTTGCACAGAACGATTGTGGTACAAAATGGAGACATTTTATTTTGAAAGCAGTTTGCAAATCACTTTGCAACCTTCGGCATGTCAGCTGGTACTGGCTGCCACCATCTTCATTTGTCAGAGGTTAACAACAATACACACAGCTTTGACTCATTTCATTATGGCAACTACATTACTAGGTTACATAAGAATAAACAAAATTTTACATATTACAAATAAAGGCAATATGCCCTGTTTAACCTCTCCAAAACTGGAGTACCAAATGAAGATTTCCCTAATACAGGCAAGTGTAAAAATCATATACCAAGACAAAGGGGGCGGGGGTGAGGAGAGATTGGAAAACTACATCTCTAAAGAAATTATTCTTGGCAGGGCCAGAGAAGGAATACATAATAAGACAGATTAAAACAGAAACATTTCATTCTTTATGCTTAAATGCAATCCCCTATCTGTCCAACTACCTGAAGAATACAGGACTAATATCTCCCTGGCAATTCCTATTGTGGAGGGGAGACAGCACTTAAGGTCTTGTTAAAACAGAGAGGAAGGGCTAGCAGGACCAAGAAAAATCCATCTGGTTGGAGCTTATTTAATTCTTACAGGTTCATTGTAAAAATGGACATCTCAAACATCAAATAAAGTACCACAGCTTTCCAAATGGGGAAAACTTACTTTTATCAGCATCTGCAGAAAATATCAAACAGCTTTACATTTTTTTAAAAAAAATCACATTTAAAAAAAATAGCACTTACAGCCAAACAGTGCCGCAGTCTGAACCTCCTGACAGGACATGAGGATTAAAGAGTAGAAATACATTTACCAAAGACAACTGTTTCTGTAAAAAGGAGCATTTTGTCAGTTTGATCAGAACTGGCTTGATGGCTTACAGAAACAATGATCAAGCTACTTCCAGTTTCTAGGAGAGTTTTAAGATGGTCAATTTTTTAAAAGAACAATAAAAATTGCTTTTCCGTTTATATGAGAACAAATACTAAAGGGGCAGCTGAAGCTGAGAGGATCATGGATGAAAGGAGGATGTCAAGAAAAACGAAAAGCAAATGTTGAAGGATAAGAAAGGAAAGGACAGAAATATGACAGCTGCCTTCTCATTTCTGAGAGTGGTGACATAAAAGGATTAGAAAGCTGTTTTCAACATCACGATCAACTTTCAGCAGCAGTGACAATGTATATTTTTCCCTGTTAGTCTGTTGTAATATTTTTTTAAAAAACTGAACAATACTAAATTTAACATTACATTTTATAAGCAATAAAACTTAATAAAACTGGAAAGAGCCTGTAGTACAGTGGACTAAAGCACTGTTATTAACATCTGCTGCTTGCAATTACTGCAAATTCAAATCCCACCAGGCTCAAGGTTGACTCAGCCTTCCATCCTTTCAAAGGTAGGTAAAATGAGGACCCAGATTGTGGAGGCAATAAGCTGACTTTGTATAAATATACAAAAGTATGAAGGCTATTGTTTAACACATTGTAAGCCGCCCTGAGTCTCCGGAGAAGGACGGTATATAAATTAAAACAAAACAAAAAAAAAAACCTCTTAACAATAACTCTAGTCAACCTAGCTAAAAGCAGTTAAAGTGACTCAAAGCAGAAATGTTTGGAGAAAAATCTTAAGAAAAATAATAACTAAACCAAAATTGTCCTAGTAGTCAGATGACTTTGACTACAGCATGATGATATCTTAGTTATCCAAGGTAAATAGTTGTGGAATTACCTGGGATTACCTGCCCTGGATTTGACAGATTACCTTGGTTGACATAATTTGCCTTAGCCATGGCCTGAGTAAACCAAAATGATTGGAATCATATATAATACCAAGTCATAAATTACAATTTACAAATAACAATGGTTAAGAGTTATTCTTCATTCTAAGTCACAAACAAAAATGTGATATTAATATATTAAATGGAGCCAGAGATACAGTGATTTACAACATGTATTCATCAGAGGATATTGTGCAATCTGTTTATGGTTTACTAGGCTTTTGTTTTGATTTATTTATGTATTTATTTATTTTAAAGGAACATTTTATATTTAGAAGGATCAAAATGGGGCTGACAAGCATCTCTTGTAGTATAATATTCTTCAGTGCTCCTCCTTTTTTCCAGTAAATACCTGACAAAATTAGGTTAGGTGCAAAATAAAATGTGAAAGAATGATTCAGTTTTATGGGTGTCAAAATCCAGCTTTTCTTAGTACAGATGATAACATCCAAAAGGATGAAACAAATTATGGGAGACCACTGTGTTAAATCACACCAGCAGAGCCCTAGTTCCTGACTGTGTTTCAGAAATTCTGCTGCAAGGTAACTTAAAACATGACAGATATTCCCCATCACAGTGTCAGTAAAAGAACAGCTATCTACCTAGGAGAGGAAGGAGCCAAAGTTTTAGTACAGTGCATTATTCTCTTAACTCCCCCAAATAAGATATCCTGCAAAGTCCAAGTGCTGAAATAAAACCAAGGATCATATCAAGAAACAATTGAAAAATGAACAATGTGCAGTTTGCTTCTAAAATATGTAGTTTCATCATCCTTAAGACAGCCCAGTTGAGCCACTTTAAAAACTTGGGAGACTCAGAAGTTCTACCCACAAGGAACAAACAAACAAAGAAGATACTCTTAGGTTCCATAGGCAGTATTGTGCACTGGTCTGCTTTATGTATTTTAAGGTCATTTTTGCCTTAAAAATGTAAAACTTTAGTAAAACTTAATTGGGAATCTAATTTATCCCAGGTGAACTTGCAAGTGGCTGCTTGCCAGTATCTAGTAAAAACCACTGGTGGCCCAAAAGCACGGCTAGTTGGCAGTAAACACCTAAAGAGAATAATTGGACAGTACCAGTAATCTTGAAGAAGAAATAGCCTGGATTTGATTAATCCTATTTTGTTGACTAATCCATAATTGTCTAGAAATTATCCTGTAGCAATAGCAGAATCTTCTGTACTACTTTCCCGGTGCAGGCCCACCCTCTGTATCGACTCTGAATATTTTTGCCTTCCCAGGCCAATAATGGTAGTGATCTCATCTGCTATGTCTTGGCGGCCACTATCCTGCATGGCCTTAATCAGCTTGTCTATGCAGTCAGGCTTCTTTTCATTTTGCTGAGCCCAGGAGAAGAGCATGTCTAGAATTTGAGTATGAAGATCTTCCCTAGGGGGAGAAAAAACAACAGTGAAAAAAATAGGTTTGTATCATGCATATGGAAGTCTTGTTTGCTTTAAGTACCAATATCACATCTTTCAATGTACTATCAATTTACATAATGTCTTTATTTTTTTTTTTGTTTAATGTACATGCTGCCCATCTCACTATCAAGATACTCTGAACAGCATAAAATGGTCACATGTAAAAAAGCGGTAAGCACTAACTCATTATTTTCAGCAGCAACCCAGTTTAATGTCTTCTGAACAGGAAAAACATCCTTATGAGGGCAAAGCTAGTAGAGTAACCTAAACATATGCTGAATCCAGCAGCATCCTAGGGGTAAGGAAGCCATAATACTTGGGCTCATGCAGGACATGTAAACCCTGCAGGTTGTACTTGCATGAAATATTAACCTGCAAGGATTGGTTAACAACTGCATGCATGCCTCCCATGTTAACCATTGAAGTAAAAATGCTGATCAGCCACACTGTGAAAGTGTCCTGGTCCCTCTGAAGGAAGGATAGACTGGAAAATCTAGTCTGTATCAGGTGGGATAACCTGCTGAGCATCTTCTAGAATCACCTGCATGTGCTCCAAGTTGAAGTGAGAAGAAACATCTGAATGGCAGGTAATATTTTGTAGGAGATTTTTCATCCTGAATGAAAGGTAACATTATGTAGGAGATTTTTGAATTTATGAATCCCAATGAAGTAGACAATTCTCTGTGATTTTATCTCCACTACCTCTGGATTAGATCCTTCCTCACTCAGGCTAATTGAAGTGGCCAAGGAGAGAATTAGGAGCTGGACTCAAGCTGTAGTCAATGATTCTTTGAGGGAAGATGCCAGAAGTCCTTAAAGAGTTTCACCCACTCATTAAGAGGCCAAGACTAGATCCAACAAAACTAGACAACCATTGTACTATAACTAAGTTTTCTTTCTGAATGTAAGGTACTGAGAAAGTTGTGAGGCTGCAAAGGACTATGGAGGATATGGATTATCAGGACTTTGACTATCTGGGTTCAGACTGGATATAGAGAGAAACTGATTGCTATCACAGATGACTGATTGTGGTAGGACTTGAATAGAGGTGGCATGACTATTATTATATTCCTGGATTTTCAACAGGTTTCAATGCAGTCGACCACACTATCTTTCTGGATCACCTACATGGGTGGGATTTGGAGTTATGATGTTATTGTGCTTCTGAAGACAGGCTGTTATAGTAAAGAAAGTTAGCTTTCAAAGAAATTTCATTATGGACTGACTCCCTTTCCCCTATCTATCCTATGCAATATTTACATGAAGCTGCTGAAGTAATTTTCTGGTTTGAGATGAAGTATCATCAATATGCAGATGATACTCAGTTACACATTTTTATCTGAACCCTGACATAGATATCATAACCCAGTGGGTGAAGGCTGTTCAGAGTTTGGGTGGAGAAAAACAGGTTTAGGCTCGACCCAAACAAGACCAGAGTTGCTGTTGATTCAGAGGCTGACTGATTCCAGGTCTGTGTATTATTTAGCTTGTGATCAAATTCTTCTCCTCCCACAAACAGGTTTGGGAAAGATAAGAGAATGACCAGCAGCAAGATGGATAGGCTCAGTTATAATAGCCATGAGTGCACCATTGGAAAGGTCCAGCTTAATGATAGCTCATCAAGGAGAAAATTTGTTTACCCGGTTGCTAAGAGTTAAAAACAACTTAATGGCACATGATCAATAAAAACAAATCAAATTAGGATACGGATTTTGTTTTTTGTAATGGTGTAACTCCCTGTGGTATCTTGTTGCATGCTCTGTGTCCCTGCGGAGACATTCCATTCCAGTGGTGGGCTCCCCTGAAGGAGTAATCTTTAGATGGAGTAGATTACCTCTTGAAGGACAGATGACCCAACCTTCATGGTCTCTCAGAAGCAGGTTATAACGATAGCTCTTCCAAAGAACCTTTGAGGATTAACTATGCATAGCAGTATGATTTTCTATAAGTCTAGTCCTTTACTTCTATTCGCTATTTTAATTTATTTTTATTCAGATTCTGCATTCTATTTTTTTCTATGTAAGTTCTGTCAGACAAACATCATAAATAATAAACAAGCAAAATAGAAACCTGAATGGTATAATTTCAAGGCAAAAGAAAAAAAATACTTTTTATCATCCAAGATACAGATGAGGATATAAGCAGCTGGATTATTGATGCTCCAGATCATATTTCCTGAATTAATGTTGTTGTTTTTTTTCATTTCTCACCTATTATTGTACTGTATCCGTTCCAACTGCTGATAGGACAATCCCAGGTTTAAGCCAATGATTCTCCAGTCAGCTCCCATGCGCCCAGCAATGCCAAGGAGATTGGACTGAGTCAAATAGCCAGTTTCAGCATTCCCCAAATTCAAAGGAGGAAGAGAGAAGCCGTCTGGAGTTGTGGGCTGCTTATTTACCTGAGTTTTCAGTTTCTGGTAGAACAGAAAATAACATATTATCTTGTTATCACATATTAACCTATTATCCTGTTATTCATGACATGTTATCATGTTTTGTAACAGAGAATCAGAGAGCACTGTCTCTTTAGATAATTGATTCTCATGTTGAACTGACCTTAGCATGAAGTTTCTTGTGTGTTCAACTATGTTTCAACTACCCTCATCATTTAAATGCAATTGATTTAGCTCTATAGAGATGGATACTGCACTGATATGGATATATTTATTAGAATTAATTTCAGGTAAATGTATAAAATATCAAAATCCAACCATCTTCAATGTACAATTATAGTCAACTGCCTCCCATTCAGCATTGAGTCATGGAAAAAAACCATAACTGGTTTGGTGTGTTCTGGAAATTTGTTCAACTACTACAGATTTAGAGAAAGACATCCTTTCCCCACTTGGAAAAAACTCCAAGCTCTGTTGGACTTCAACATCTATTATTTTGATCACTGATATTGCTGACTGGGACAACATTTATCCAATTTTGTTTTTGCATCTGATTTTAAAATTGGGGAAAATAACAACTTTTGCTATTAGCAATTTAGCTTTTGTGCCAATACAGGTCTGTTCCTTGTTCAGAGGTAAATCTTTAAAGTGTAAAGGAGGAAGGTTTCTACCCAATAATATTAACTATTTCTTCAAAAAGAGAATGAGAAACAGTACATATCTTTGGCTAAAACATAGTCCTCTGGTCTCCTTTAGATGAATTACATAAAAAAAATTAAAATTAAAATAGTATTAATAAAAATAAAGATTATATTAAAGGAAGTGCCATAAAGCAGAAAAGTTGGTTCACCATGAGTTTTGGGAAATTTATATGAATTTATACACACAAAGTGATTTAGATACCATCTTGTTAAGGTCCTATCTGCCTCAGCCAGAAAGAGACTTGAGTAATGATGGGTTATAAACTTTTCTGGTCAGAAGTTATCTGAAATCTGTTGAAGGGTCAATCATCATTTAAGGCCAAAAATATACTTAAAGTTTTGCTTATCAGTTAATGGTTAATAAAGGTTGGTTTATTTTGAGTTACGGAAAGCATTAAAATGTGAACTAGATGTATGATATGGTACAAAACACAGATGTGTATGTTATGGTAAGAAGGAAACGGTGAACTTTGGATTAAGAATGGGCAATAAAATGTTAGGCATTAAAAAAGGCATTAATTTGGAATATTTATCTAAATGAAAGTATATTGTCTATAGATAATTTTTTAAAAAAATAATGGAATTATTTTCCTAAGCAAACATAGCTAACTTAAATAGTTTTTCAAAACCCTACACACTATCCTCATATAGCTTTAATGTACAAATTATTCTTAATAGTCTTCCTACGTATTTTATTTTCAGTTATGTAAAATATTTTATATGATTTCATACAGCTGATAACACAAACACCACCAAATGTTAAGTACAAGTCAGTACAAAATAGCAAAACCCTTTCCTGTTTCATTACAATGGTGCCTTTAAAATTCAGCAACTAAATATAATGTTATAGTTTTAATAGTTCTAATATGGCTTCAAGGCTATTTTCTTATTTAATTCTTGATTGGGAGCCATCCAGAGTCTGGTATAAGATGGGTCATTGTATAAATGTTTTAAATAAAACAAAACAAATAAGCAACTATTAAAACAATCAACTAAGAATTCCATATTCTCTCTTGATACCCTGTCTATTTATATAAACAAAAGTGTGCATGCAAGACACTTCCCAACCGGCAAGGCCAGAAGAAAAAAGAATAGCAATCCTAATGCTGCACTAGTCGATTTTTCTTTGTGAATAACACTTACAGGTAGCTTGATTGGCAAAGTAGCTAGCCAGTGAGAATCGGGCCCCTTCCTCCTCCTTGTAATCTCTTCAGGAATGCTCTCAGGAACTTCTCCTCGATAAAAGGAAACCTTCAAAAAGAGATCAGCCTTAGATAGGTTTGAAAGAACCACAGCTGGCTGAGAAGTTGGTGTTCTCTCTTTTGGGAGGTTACTTACTTGTGCATTTATTTATAGAGGTTCTACGATGAGATAAGTGCATCGCAAATAATCTGTCCCTGGCATATTATTGAGTGCCTATTATCAAACCAATCTGTTGAGGATTATCACTATGTTTTGATTACCTGGCATTTGCTGTGCTCATTCTTTTGCCCCCACCCCCACCCCACATTACTTTTATGACTTTAAATCAGTGTTGAAATATTTCTTGTGCTTTCTCGAACCATTTTCAAAAGTGGTTTGCCATTACCTCCTTCCCAGGATTGAGAGAAAGTGACTGGCCCAAAGTTGCCCAGCTGGCTTTGTGCCTAAAACCACAGAACTTAAGGTCTCTCCGTTTCTAGGCTGGTGCCTTAACCATTACACCAAACTGGCTCTCTTGTTTGACTCTTACAAACTGTGAATTTGTAAGTTCTAGTACTATCAATGCATAATATACAATTAAATTCATATCAATTTCCTTATTTAGAAAAAAGTTAAATACATATATATGAAGTATGACAAAGTTCATACATCAGCCATGATTTGCTTACTGTGCTTGACTGAGTAAGTAATAATCAGCTGTGTTCATGCCAACACTAAGTCAAAAACAAACTATGTTATGATCACTGCAATGTGCAAAGCAAGTTATGGTTTGCAAGGTAACTCAAAAGGGCTTGCTTGGTTAGGGTTAGGGTTAGGGTTGGTTTTTATCGTAGAGGATCCATTAGAATCAGGTAAAAACTTGCTTCAGGAGATAGAGAAGTATGGTAGAGTTGCAGGTCTCCGAATCAACAAAGACAAGATGAAGATTATAATAAAGAATATGACACGAAATCGTTGGAGTGAATTGGAGAGAGAATTGGGCCTTCAAGTGACTAAAAGAATAAAATACTTGGGTATTTGGATATCTTCTAAAAATATGTCTATTATGGTAGATAATTACACAAAGTTGTTAGCCCAAACAAAGACAGACTTAGAAAAGTGGGAGCACCTGCAACTCTCCTTACTTGGTAGGATAGCTATGATTAAAACCCACATACTTCTGAAATGGAACTATTTATTTCAGACCGCCCCCGCGAGACTGGATAGTGGTTTTTTTAAACTGCTAGATAGTTATGTGAGGAAATTTGTGTAGAAGAAGAAGCCCCAGATAAAACTTAAAATGCTCCAAGAGGCCCCATGTAGAGGGGGATTTGGTCTACCGAAATGGGAGTTTTACTACCAAGCGGCTAATTTAACTTGGATCAGAGACTGGATGCTTTTAAATAGGAAGAGGACTCTTACATTGGAGGGTTATGATTTGTGTCAAGGTTGGCACCATTTTCTATGGAGTGAGAGGGGCAAGAAATGTGGACAGTTTAAGAGACACTACCTTCAGAGAATATTATTAGAATCTTGGGAAGGGGTTAGGAACAGCCATTATTCAATGATTCCGATTTGGTTTGCCCCATTAGAGGCAGTAACACATGCGACACTATATAACAAGGAAATACCATTGACTTATCAGGATTTGCTTGACCCTCAAGGGGAATTGAAGACCCGAGAGGAGCTTACGAAACAGGGCAAAAAGGTAGACTGGTGGGCGTATGCCCAAATACAATCGAGAGTCAGAAGGGACAAAGGAAAGGAGGGAATATATAGGTCACTAGAGGAGTTAGATAAAATCTTATTGGGAATCAAAAAGAAATTACTTTCAAGGTGCTACCAGTTTTTGGTATCACGATGGATTGGTGAGGAGGTGATTAAGGACACTATGATTGCCTGGGGGAGGAACCTTGGATTTTCTACAAATTTGGATAAGTGGGATGAGTTATGGAATAGGAATATGAAACTTACTTTGTCAACCTCCTACAAGGAAAATATTTATAAAATGGTCTATCGTTCGCATATCCCCCCGGCAAGAATCGCAAGAATGTTCCTGGGAGTTTCTCCGGCATGCTGGAAGTGTGGGAATGATTGTGGGACATACTACCACCAATGGTGGATGTGCCCCAAAGCAGGCAAATATTGGTCCAAGGTCCGGAACTGGATAGTGGAAATTACAGGATATAACATAGAGCTGAAACCAGAGATTTTTTTATTAGGAATGAAAGCAGACAAAATTACAGAATGCGCAGAGGCAGACCGGTTAACGAAATTACTTAGGAACCAAAAAGATTCTGATTATTACAAATGTTGGAATTTATGGCATAATTGGTGAAAGAAAAGAGAGGGAAATGAAATGGATTGTATTAGTGGTATAGGCGCAGATTTGTGTATGTTAGTTGCAATAACCTTGTATGTATATATGTAAAATATTGTATTTTTAAAAATTAAAATAAACTTTGAAAAAAAAAACGGGCTTGCTTAGCAAACATATCCCATCAATTTTGCATATATTTAAGTTCTGAGTTTTTACAGCTGTTTAATATTAGAGACAATGGCATTATACATGGGAAAATAATAATATAGTGAGAAGTAGAAGAAAGCATCTGGGCAGTAGAACTTTTGACAGTTGGAATAGGCTCCTTTAAAAAGTTACTTTAAAAAAACACTGAGGTAAACTGGCTTTGGGTTCAACTGTGAACAACAGCCATCCATGAAGCACAATCTACAAAAATAATTGGAAGATAATATTTATTACAATTTAGTACAGTCAAAATTATATGTTCATCTTTTGAATTATGGAATCAGAGAATATAAAGTTATGCCACTGGATTCAGGCAATAAGGAAAAAGAATTGATATGCTAGTATTAATTAATTGGGGCACAAACTGTTATAGGAAATTTTACTGTGGATGAGAGGAGAAGCATATGTACCTGCCCTTTCACAGCCTTGCTGTTTCTGTCCACTTCAGAGGTAATATAGACTTCCTTCACATTTTTCAAATGAGAGAAAAAGCTGAATGAAATCCTTCCATCAATACAGTCTGGCCGGTCTGAAATAAGTTTGAGAAAATAACCCAATTTGCTTAAATCATAAATAATTTCATACTTATAGCCTCCTGCAGTTAGAAGTTCTCTAAATGGGGTGGAACACAACTTCTAAAATTCTCAGCAACCACAGGATCAGGTTTGGGAAGGCTGTTAGGAAGACTAAACTTCTTTGACATGTTTCTGTCCCACAAGAAACAGAATTTTGGAACGAAGTATAGTAATTTTCTTTTTTCCTAGCCTCAATCTCCAAGTAAATTGTAATTTTTGCCACACATCGGCAAACCATATGCTTTGCAGATAAAATATCCCACATTTATTACTCAAATTGTCACTTGAAAGGACTCGGTTAAGGAGGCAAAAAGTGCAACTTTCAGTTAAAAGGCCTTTTAACATTAATATCATGGGCCCTCTATTATAGGACAATGCCCTTGAAATTTTCAAGCACCTGGCAGTGCATATACTGTGTATGACATCTATCTGCAATACTTTAAAGTAACTGAATCTTTTCCTGGAAAATTCAGAAAAGAAATTCCTCCTTATCAATAAATTAGAAAATAGTCCCAGGGTGGCGGTGGGGGACAGAGGGAAGTGGTTTCTATAGTCAGAGGCAGGAGAACTCATATTTATTGTTTCTCAGATATAGGCCTCCACTATGATACTATGTAATGTGGGATTAAGATGCATCCAGGTTCTACTTACGCAACTGATTCTCTCTTTTGGAAGTACTCTTAAGATGAGCTGTAGTGGCACAGAGGTTAAAGTGCAGTATTTCAGGCTAACTCTGCCCATAGTCAGAAGTTCAATCCTGACCAGCTCAAGGCTGACTCAGCCTTCCATCCTTCCAAGGTTGGTAAAATAAGGACCTAGATTGAGGGGGGTCCTTGGTGCTCTTTGAGCTTGTTTTCTTTAAGACGTTTCATTACCCAAACTAGGTAACACCATCAGTGCTAGTAAGGAATGCTGTTTGCTGTCAGTTTATATTCTGGTGTCTTGCCTGTCTGGGTGGGCAAGGATCTTAGGGATTCTTTGGTTGGGCTGTTTACTAATGGCTCTTTGGCATTATTTCATTTCAACTCTGAGCTACAAATATTTTCCTTTATTAGGACCTAGATTGTTGGAGGCAATATGCTGACAATGTAAACTGCCTAGGGAGTGCTGCAAAGCACTATTGGATGGTAGATAAATGCTATTGCTACTGTTATGAGCTGATTTGGAATTGCACAGCTAAACCTGAGTTATGGAGGCATACATACGTAAATATAGACAAGCTGTTTGACATTTCACCTGCGTCAATGCTGATACCCCGTTCAAAAGCTGCAAAGAACTGCTCCCCTTCAAACATCTCCACAATGTCAGATGGCTCAGGGCCTCGATATCGGTCATGGAGCTTTTTCAAAACAGGATCCACCTAAAAGACCATCAGAAAGGAATAAAGAAATGAACATATTTTTAAAATCCTCATTTCTTTATCCTTGTATCACTTCAGTGGCAAGATTCAGATTTCCAAGGAAATGAGCTCCCAGAGGCTTAATAAAATGCAATACATTTAATAGGAGCTCTCTATGTATCTCTAATCATAGACTCTCACATAATAACAATTCCACAAAAGGCTGAAAAATATGGTGGTGTTTTAAGGAGTCAGTGCAATGGAAACTGTCTAATGAACCGCAAAAAATGTATATATTCTCATAGAAAATTGAAACAATTTACCAAAACTCACTTATCCAAGTAGTACAGCAATCAATAATAGTCTGATCAAATAATAAAGATTTCATCAGACAAGTTTCCTCTTCTCCCTCCATGTTTGCTAATCTTACCTCTCCTAAAATGTATTGAAACCTGCAAATTGTTCCCTAGAACTGATGTATTTTGGAATTGTGATCTTCCATTTGAACTCCAAAAGATCTGCTTATATGTTTATCATCATCATCATCAGAGTGGGAAGGGACCTTGGAAATCTAGTCCAACCTCCTGCTCAAGCAGGAGACCCTATATCAGTGATGGCTAGCCTTTTTGCCGTCGTGTGCCAAAAGTGGGGGGGGGGGGGGGGGGGGGGGCGCCCCTGGTGGTGCCCCCCCTCATAGTTCAATGCGCCCTGCCCCCGCGCCCCCCCCCCCCCCGCTTTTAGCATGTGATGGCACAGTGGGCCCGGTAGGCCCGTTTTTCACCCTCCCCAGGCTCCAGAGGCTTTCTAGAAGCCTGGGGAGGGCGAAAACAGCCTTCCCCCCCTCCCCCGGAGGCCCTTCAGAGGCCGGAAACAGCCCATTTCCCAACTTCCGGTGGGACCGGAAGGCCCAAAAATCAGCTGGCCAGCGCACACATGTGCACTGCAGCTGAGCTATGGCAATGCTTGTGTGCCCACTGATATGGCTCCGTGTGCCACCTGTGGCACCTGTGCCATAGGTTCGCCATCACGGCCCTATACCATTTCAGACAAATGGATGTCCAATCTCTTCTTAAAAGCCTCCAGTGATGGAGCATCCACAACTTCTGAAAGAAACCTAGTCCACTGGTTGATTGTACTCAGGGGATTTCTCTTTAGTTTTAGGTTGCTTCTCTCCTTGGTTAGTTTCCATCTATTGGTTCTTGTCTTGCTTTCTGGTGCTTTGGAAAAAAAATTGCCCCCCCCCTTCTTTGTGGCAGCCCCTCAAATATTGGAACATTACTATCATGTCACCCCTAGTTTTTCTTTTCTCTAGACATACCCAATTCCTGGAACTGTTCTTCATATATTTTAGCCTCCTCCCCTTCCCCTTCCCCCTCCCAAATATCTTAATTGCTCTTTTCTACACTCTTTCCAGAGTCTCAACATCTTTTTTATATCATGGTGGGCAAAGTGGATGCAGTATTCCAAGTGCAATTTATATACAACATACTATATACAACAGACACTTACAAATGAATTTTGTTTTGATTCTATATTTTAATAAGTTTGGCTCCAGACACACACTTACAGGCCAAGCGCAGCTTTAAATGAAAAAAAAAAAACATTCCTAATTATTCCAACTATATTCCTCACTATATTCCTGTTTTTAGAATTCTGGCTAAAAAGAACAACTTTGTGTTTGCAGAATACATGCTGTATTTTCTATTATATAGACATATGTGTGCATCGGTATATGTGATGTGTGCAGGGATATATTCTTATGCACATACAAACACTCACTTTGTGCTTTGGGAGGCACTGGAGCAAGACTTGTTCTGGATCTTTCTTTCTCTGCAGTGCTATGAAGTTCACCCGGTACATGCGCAATCTTTTATAGACTTCTTTAGCAAAGCCACCAATGTAAGCTTTTGTGGTGCACCATAACCAATACCTGGAGGGAAAGGGAGATTTGTAAAATGATTTGGATGGGTCCAGGTCTTCTCTGATAAAGTCAACCATATAAGAGTGTATGAGGGCTACACTATTGCTTCATTAATGAAAAAATGCAAGTATGAATGGTTCTTATGCTAAAAGAAAATATTTATTAGATTTTATTACTTTTTAACTTTATAAATAACTCATGGTGGTGAACAAACATAACACTCCTTCCTCTTTTTCTCCACAACAACTCTCAGAGCAGTTGGGTTGAGTTAGAATGACCAACTCAAAGTTACTCAGCTGCCTTTTGTGTCTCCACAGAGCTTCCAACCACAATACTGGCAATCATAGCTGGTGCTGCTCCAGTGAGTAAGAGGAGGACAGGAGTTCTGGAGTCTGTGTGAGCATTCAATAGCAGGATCAAGAGACTTTGACTATGGAGAGAAGAGAAATCCTCTTGATCCACATGGGTGCACATCCATCACCGCTAAGCAAGTCAGAGAAAGCCAGCTTCTATGAAGAAGCCATGTGAAGCCTTGCTCCCCAGGCTGACCCAGAAAAATGTGGTGCAGGAGGAAGAACAAATATACAGCAGGTATTCTAGCCTACATCTTAAAAATGTACATTACACATACACCAAAACCCATGTGCCATTACATGCATAAAGTAACAAAAACAACAGTCTAAATTTCCGATATGAAAAATATTTGGTGTTTTATTGAGGTCTGGTCTCTGCTTAGAAACTGCCGATAATGAGGCTGTGCATAAGGAAGGCACTCTGTATCTGTGGATTGCTTGGTGTCCACCCAAGCAATCCAAAGTAAAATGTAAAATTTGTTACTACCGGTTCTGTGGGCGTGGCTTGGTGGGGGTAATGTGACTGGGTGGGCATGGGCAACTTTTTTTTTTTTTTACTTTTAAAAGCATTTTTCTACATTCTCTTCGGCTGAAGAGGTTGTATAAAAATGCTTTTAAAAGGCTCTGACGATGCCAGCTGAGTCACGTGATCATCAGAGGCTTTTTTTTTCTTTTAAAAACATTTTTTCGGCTGAAGAGGTTGTAGAAAAAATGCTTTTAAAAGTAAAAAAAAAAAGCCTCTGATGATTGTGCGGCTCAGCTGGGCATGGGGGTGGGAGCAGGGATTTGTGCTACTGGTTCTCCGAACCAACCGCTGCCATCGCTACCGGATCGGGTGATCCAGTCCGAACCGGGAGCATTTCACCCCTGTGTCCACCATAACATGACTTTGAAAGCATTCTAAAGAAGAAAAGCAATCTCATCAAAAAGTGGGAACAGCTTGTTTCCCATCACTTAACAAAATAGGAAGGGACCTTGGAGGTCTTCTACTCCAACCCCCTGCTCGTGTAGGGGACTCTAGTCTATAGCATGTCAGACAAATGCCTGTCCAAGTTGTTTTGCAAAACAACTGTGTAAGCAGGGCTTCAGCTCTTATGGTCAAGTAAAATGCTCCAAATGCATATCAATTCTGTTGTAAATATGGAAAGGCCAGCTGAGAACATTTGCTGTCCACAACCACTTAAGTGCTACTGAGGTTAAGATTATGACCGCTGGCCCACTAACCAAGAGAAGTGTGTTACTTCAAATAAAGCATAGAGTTGGGTGAACTCCAGGATCACTTGATCGGTGATGTCACTCCAGTTCTGAGCATCCCAGTCACTGTGCAACAAATGTACTCTGGAACGATCCAAGGTTAGACCTGAGGGGGGAAAATGAAAAGATGTTGGCCATAAACTTAAAGGTTGAACTGAGCTCTTTTCAGTTTATAATTGCATCAGAGGGGATGGAGGTTGACTTATGTCACTGATGGGACAGATAACATGTGGAAAGGACTATGATAGTTTGACCAAATGTAAACAATGAATGTTCTGCAGGATAGAGCTAAACTACCCTAAACTTTTGCAATGCCTATCCTTAAGAATTTAACCTAATTTCCTCCGCAGAAGATAAATGTTCTCGAAATCGTATTTAACTGTATCAAGGCATTGAACTGCTCTTGAAATTCAGGGAGCTGTGTATCTTAAAGAAATATTCCCATCCCATGAAAACATTTTTTTAAAAAAAACCTGGCAAACTAACCTGTGACACCAGGAGGCAGTGGAAGCTGAATTTTAACAGGCTGAAGAAAGTCCACAGTGGAACTTTGAGAGAGACAGAGGAGAGGGCTGGCAATTGTTTCAGAATCACCAGTGATCTCTCTTAGGTCCTTTGTTGATACAGGAAGCACCTTAAAGTAAAAATAAAAAATATAATCGGGCCCATTCAAAACTGTGTGGGCTTCCATACATGAAAAATCTCTCAGGGCTTCTTCCCACAGCCAAAAGTTGATCATGAACATCAAGAGTCTTACTGGAGAGGAATCTGACAGAATTTAAGGCAGAGGTCCCCAACCCCTGGTCCATGGACCGGCACTGGTCCACAGCATGCCAGAAACTAGGCCACGTAAACAAGTGAAGCCCCATCCAAGGTATGCAGGCAGCACATGAAACCATGCCCCTTCCAGTTCAAGGAAAAACCTCTTTCCACGGAACCCATCCCTGGTTGGGGACCACTGATTTAAGAGATGCCCTTGGAAAAAAAATAAACAGGAAGTCTCTTGGATTCTGGCCACAGATTCAGGCCCCAATTTGTTCCTTGTGAGGGCTCTTGGGTCAGCCTTTCTAGTTGTTAGTTCTCAAATCTGGCTCAGAGAATTGCAGTGTGCGATCAGGCCCTGATTATTTGCATTGTCACCATCCTTCCTGGCTGAAATTAAACAAACATCCCTAATGAAATTTTACAAACAAGCAACGTGGGTTAATTAAGAAAAAGAATTGAGGACTGGCTATACAAGTCAAACATGAGATGAAGCAGTTATTTCAGGACCTGTCTTTAAAGCTTTAAATTCACATGACCCAAATTGTGTGACCTGAACCAGGTGATTTTCAATCTTGTAAGGCAGGCAAATTTTTTTACTGGAAGCCTGGATTACTGGGCGTCAATGTTTATCTGTATTTGTTTGGGTGGGTGGGTGGGTTCTTCCTTACCTGAAGCTTCACTGTCCTCATCTCCTCGGTCACACCAGGAGGAAAGGTCACTTTAATGTTGGGATCAACAGTTGAAAAAAGCAAGCCCCCTTCCTGACAGACTTTGCATTCATTCTCCACAAGACGTGAGACGACCAAAAACCAGGAGAAGTGAGAGACGCTGCAGCAAGCTGAATGCTTCTGTCCAAGAATGTGGAAGAATGAAGAGAACCTTCAGGACATACGGAAGTACTTTAAAGATACAGACACCAACTCACTACCACAATAGATCATAACTCAGGGCTTAATAGTGAAGTCGGATTAACCCCCGGCTTGCTGTTTTAGGACAGCTATTAAAATCTGGCTTTTAAAGAATACCTTGGAAGGGCACCTACGATACTCTGAGTTGTGTCTGATTTTGTTCTCAGTAGCCTCAGTTTCTTTGATAGTTATTATGTTCTTATTTTGCTTTTGTATTTTATCCTTTTTACTTTAAGAGGAAATGTAAGATGCTCAGTGACATATAAGTCCTAGTAGGTAAGTAGAAGGACAAAGGGTGCTCTCAGGATGAATTGAATTACTTATTTATCAGCTTTATATAATAAAAAAAACAGGACATCTGCCTCTTATCACATGAGGGGTTCACGTTTCTTCAAAGAGTTTATATCTGAACTAGTCCATTGAAATATTGATGCACCGAATGTTACTTTAAAGGTCAACCAAAGAGCTTGATAATTTCTAAACCAGTGTTTTTCAACCTCACCAACTTTAAGAAGTGTGGACTTCAACTCCCAGAATCCAATTCCCAAGGCACAAGAGAGCCTGCAGACTAGAATGCCACAAGGGAGTCGGGGATCCCTAATTCTTGGGAGTTAAAGTCCACACTTCTTAAAGTTGCTGAGGTTGAGAAACACTGTTCTAAGCTATAAGAGATTGTTCATATCAGACAGAGTTTACATGTCAAGTTCCCGCAGGAAAAAATGACAGGAAAAGGAAAAAATGACAAGGGAAGAAATGGGTATTACAACCATCCTCAACATACCTTGCCTTTGCATTTCACTCTGGTTCTCAAATCGCTCCACTTATGTCCATCAAAGGTTCGAATTATAAGCTCACGGTCATTCAGGCTGTGAGGAGAAGCATAGGGCATCCAGATCCGCACCTCCTAGCATGCCAAGAGAGAAGAGAGGGTGTCCATAAATTCATCCCAGAGAGACAACCTTAGTCAAGCTCTGCAATATATGGAGCAAGAGAAAGACTCACTCCAGGGAGTAGAAATAGGACCCAAATAAGGCAATATAGGAAATGGGATGTGGTAATATGGAAGCCAGCATACTATGGCATCAAAAATGCAGTTGTCTACCTTCCACAACAGCCATTCCTCTCCTTCTCCCCTCTACCCTTCCCTCCCTTCTTCTATTCTTTTCAACTTTCTTCTTTCCTCCTCTTCTTCCCCTCCTCTCCTTCCCCTTCCTTTCCCCCACTCCTCCCCTCTTCCTCTCTTTCTAACCCTCTCTCCTACTTTTATTTCCCCCTCCCTTTCTTCCTCTCCTTTTCCCTTTCTTCTCTCTCTCTCTTTCCCTCCCTTCTCCTCTCTCCTTCCTACCTGTCCCTCTAAGGGAAGAAGGGAGATATGGAATGGTAGAAGAGCAACTCCGAATATATTTTAAAATTTTAGGATGAAGAATGAACCAATATGGAAACCAAAAGATAATATGTGTGATAAGAATGGTTAAAGAGATTGTACATTTATATATGTTTTATGAGAAATAAAAATAAAAAACTTTTATAAAAAAAATGCAGTTGTCCATACATAAATGCTATAGATTCTCATAGACATGCTTCAAAAGGATTTACACCTCACACTAAAAGAAAAAGGAATGAATATCATTTTCCACCCATAAATTGACCTAGTTCAGCATGCTGCCTGCAAACAGCAACATAAACAATCTCTCAAAAATGATAGCATGTGTATAATGATATTACCACACAAAAGTTGTCATTATATATTTGCATGTTATGGCATGCATGATGTTGTCATCACATGCAGGTTATCATTTGGCCCTCTTCTTCTTCAGATGGATGCCTATGCAACAAAGCAAGACGGGCAACACCATCTGCTCACTGTATATCACAGTGTGGCATGGAATGCCACTGCCAAGGTTTAGGGAGTTAGCAAAGCAAAGCAAAGCAACAGAGATATTTAACAGGGTGTTAGTTCATTCTAGACAATTAGCTAGATGTTCTAGGGATATGATAGCATCTTGTAACTTATAGTAATTTTTGGAATTCCCAGTAATTTCATAGTATTTTCTTTGCAAATAGGCATCTATGTGCTTAATCATTCCATATATACCCAAAAGAAAGACAGCCACATACAGGGTTAAAATAAATACAATTTAGTGGATTTTCTAAAATGGGAGAAGCAAAGTTTCTACTCTGTCCTAAACAATTATCTCTGAATTAGGAAATAATTTCTTATATTACTACAATTCGCCTTTGCATAACTGATGGAGAATTGTTGGGACAAGTGAACAAAGCCTCCACTTACTCAACAACATTCTCCTCTTCATTTCCTAAATTCCAGGTCTCTAATCTGGATTAGTGTCTGAGTGGGGGGAGGGAGAGCAATAATATTGTAAATTCTATTGTATAATATTGTAAAGAACCCATCAACTGATCCAACTCACTAGCCTATTTAACAAGCAACTAATCCACCACCACCCAGTGCAACAACCCAATGAAAATAAAGGATGTACAGGCAGTGGTGAAATCCAATTTTTTTTTACTACCGGTTCTGTGGGCATGGCTTGGTGGGCGTGGCAGGGGAAGGATACTGCAAAATCCCCCATTCCCTCCCCACTCTTAGGGGAAGGATATTGCAAAAATAGCCATTCCCACACCACTCTGGGGCCAACCAGAGGTGGTATCTGCTGGTTCTCCGAACTACTCAAAATTTCCGCTACCGGTTCTCTGAACTGCTCAAAATTTCTGCTACTGGTTCTCCAGAACCTGTCAGAACCTGCTGGATTTCACCCCTCTGTACAGGTACTCAGAACTCTATCTGTTTTGTCTGTCCAAGAAAAAGCTATCAAAAGAAGGACTGAGCTTGAAAATGACTAAATCCAGCCAGGGGTCCTAGAGAAGAAAAATTATTCTAGGAGAGGAAGATGGGCAATAGCTCAAAATGCTGTTAACTGTTCCACATGGAGTTTAGATATGCAGTCTGTTTTCCACTTCCTAGTGCACACGTACAGACTCAATCAGAGGGAACAGCAGAATCACACTCAGAGAAGGCAAACATTACTTAATCACATAGAAGAAAATAACAGTTGTAAAGAATTTGAAAAGAATTCCAGGAGCCATGCTCTGCATATTTTCTCCTTCTGGTTCATATTAGTTTGCAAATTGTAAATCTGCAGACTAACATGAACAAGAGAATTTGCAAGGTTCCAGCTTAATCTCTTTTAAACTTTCCTCTGTGCTTACCTGCTGGAAATGAATCCCATGGGGCTGCAGTTCTAGGACTTCACTTAGCAGGATGTCATGGTGCTTAAGCTTCACCCAATGAGGGTCAGGGGAGCGTTTCTGGAAATGAATAGTTACTAGAGTAGTTGTAGCACCCTGTGGGAAATGGAGTTGTATGCCACAAGCCAAGAAGACATGGCAGCCTTCAGGAGTCACAGTAAAGCTTTGGAAATGCAAAAAGAAACAAAATGTCTTTATAATCTTTATTCTTGTTGAGATGCAAGAGTTGAAATAAAAAATAATTATGGATTGGATCACAACTCCCATAAATCACAACAATGTTTCACAATTGGTTGTGAATTATAGGGTGCTGGAGTCCAACCTGTTTGTCTTTGATTCATCTGGAATTTAGGTTTTTTTTTTTTAAAGGCTATGGCCTAAACAGGGGTGGACCACTTTTTGGTTACCATAGTTTTGAGGCAGGTGAGCTCTGCAGAGTGAGAGGGACTGGTCTTGTGGGGAGGTTGTTTTAATTGTGACTATTTCTCTAAAACCTGACTTTTTATTCAATATATCATTATCCTGAGAAGACATATTCTTGGTCAGCATTGTTGTTTTCTGTTTATTTATTTTGAAACCTGCCAAAGCCCCAAACTCATTCAATTTCATCATCAAGTATTCTATCATTTTTATGGGATCCTGTAAAATTATAACCAGATCATCAGCGAAGGCCCGCAATTTATAAGTTTCTTTCTTAATACTTATACCCCTTATTTTATCTTTTTGTATAATACTACTATTCAGGACTTCCAAAACCCAGATAAACAACAGTGGAGACAAGGGACATCCTTGTCTTGTATACTTTTGAATTTTGCATGAATTAGTTAAGTTTATAACAATTTTTGCATTCTGGGACATATAGATTGCTTTAATTCCTTGGATAAAGTTCACTCCAAAGTCCATTTCTTCCAGCATCTTAAACATAAAGGCCCAATTTAAATTGTCAATTGACAGCCTTCGATAAAATGTGACTATGTCTCTATTAAGACTTATCTTACAGATTCCCCATTCTTTTGGGGCGAGAAACTTTGTTGCCTGTTCCTACAATCATGATCAAAGAATGTGAAGATTTCTGACGAGTCCTAGTTATCATTTCTTTCTCCCCAGATCTTCAGGAAATACGCATAGTTTTCTGGACAATAAACAACAATAAAGAAAACCACACTCATTCATACACCCACACAATCTCCCTCTATGCTTCATATATAAACTGAGATGACAAAATAAGATGATACACTTGTACACCGCCCTTAGGTGTTCCCATTCTTCCTTCATTGCATTCATTTGCACATGAATGCAAATTCTAAGGGTGAGGAGACTCTACCAGGCAGCTAATATTGTGGCAGTTGCCCAGGGATGCCACTTTGTAATCTATGCCTAGTTTCACTGCATACACTCAACCATTAGTAGTTGTAATGCAACTCTTTAGTCTTCAAAAGCAAAATCTGGCTCATTTAAATGAGCTGAGATTTTAAACACTGAGAAAATCATATTTGAATGAATGAGACTGGTTTAAGAAAAACATTGGGTGCAATATGCATGCTATGGAGTGTATCTTTGGAAGGAAGTGATATCACGAAACACATGACTGTCGTAACTTAAATAACAAGACTGTAATTTGCATTATTTGTTATTTTATTATGGCTTATATTGGATGCCTATGTATGCTAAATTGGTGGGGAGTTAGGACACCTGATCAAGATATTAGCTGAACACCACATGAAATACCTGTCTTCATCAGCTTTAAGATACACTCTTTGCAATTCTTCTGAACTAGAGTCATCTGCAAGAAAACAAAAGACCTTCCTTCAGTCTGTGGTTGAGAAGAAGAAGAATATAATCTAGGGAAACCTGTCCATGTCCTAACCTTTTTAATGTTTTAATTTTTAATGTTTTTATATGTGGTTTTTAAATGCATTGTAAGCCGCCTTGAGTCTTCAGAGAAAGGAGGCATACAAGTTGAACAAATAAATAAAACCTCTCTTTACTGTTGTGGAAAAACATAAGGAGAGAGTTTGATGTGAGTCACTTTGAGCTCCCAGAAGAAAGGAAGAACAGAAATGAATAAAGAAATGACAATAAGTATGTTATGATCTGATGCCTATGATGCAAATTTTTATTTTATTTTATAAGCATAGCTCCATCTGAGACGTGAAAGGGAGTCACATGACAAAGGACATTTTCTTATCCAACTGAACATATCCTCAACTAACCTATTGTAAAACTCTTCTGACATATTATAAATGACTTGCTATTATTTCCTAGACATTTCAAAAATCTTTAATCTTTTAATTTGATAAATTTAGTGTTTCATGTATTGTGGCTTCACCATAATACATAGCCGCTGGGTGAGATCATCCGTGGTTTCGGGGTGAAGTACCATCAGTACGCTGATGATACTCAGCTGTACATCTCCACCCCGGACCACCCCAATGATGTCCTTGAAGTGATGTCCCGGTGCCTGGAGGCCGTGCGGATCTGGATGGGGAGAAACAGACTCAGGCTCAACCCATCCAAGACCGAGTGGCTGTGGTTTCCGACATCCCGATATAGTCAGTTGGTGCCATCACTGACTATTGGGGGCGAGTCATTGGCCCCCATGGAGAGGGTTCGCAACTTGGGTGTCCTCCTAGAGTCATGGCTGTCTTTAGAAGAGCACATGACGGCCGTGGCCAGGGGGACTTTTTATCAGGTCCGCCTGATTCGCCAGTTGCATCCCTTTCTGGATTGGGACTCGTTAAATACGGTCACTCATGCTCTCGTTACTTCCCGCTTGGACTACTGCAATGCTCTCTACATGGGGCTCCCCTTGAGGAGCACCCGGAGGCTCCAGCTGGTCCAGAATGCGGCCGCGCGGGTGGTTATGGGAGCGACGTGGTGCTCCCATGTGACCCCCCTCCTGCGCGAGCTGCACTGGCTCCCGGTGGTCTTCCGGGTGCGCTTCAAGGTTTTGGTTACCACCTTTAGAGCGCTCCATGGCATCGGACCGGGGTATCTACGAGACCGCCTTCTGCTACCAATAGCCTCTCACCGACCAGTACGCTCCCACAGAGAGGGGCTCCTCAGGGTGCCATCGGCCAAACAGTGTCGACTGGCGGCCCCCAGGGGGAGAGCCTTCTCTGTGGGGGCACCTACCATCTGGAACGAGCTCCCCCCAGAGATACGGAAGATCACGGACCTGCGCACGTTTCGCCGTGCTCTCAAAACTTTTCTATTTCAGCAGGCTGGCCTGGCCTAACTCCCCTCTTTTAAATTTTTAAAAAAAATTTAATTCGTGATTTTATAAATTGGGTGTTTTAATCTGTGTTTCGGCCAAAATATTTAATAATTTTAAGGGATTTTTAATATTTGTATTATCTGTATTTTATCTTGGCTGTTCACCGCCCTGAGTCCTTCGGGAGTAGGGCGGTATAGAAATTTGATTAAATAAATAAATAAATAAATAAATAGTTATTTAGTCCTGTTGAAAAAAAATTCTGTTGCCTTTCAGCCACAGGGTGTTTAAATTTCAGCTTGCATTGGAATTGTTTTCAATTTGTTAAAATTGGAACACTTTCTTGCTTTTTAATTTTTCTGTTTAAAGGAATTATGGATTATAGTTAGTTTTATTTTAAGTGCTGTATATCTTCCAAACAGTTATTTTGGCTAGGCAGCTGAAAACAAATGGAACAAATAACTAATACCAACAAGAAATTGAGGTGATTTTTTCTAACTATGCTTTCCTAGTACTGGTATATATTTTGTATCAAGAATGACCATGTCTTCAGTTTGGGAACTGCATTTAACAACAACAACAAAAACAACAAAAGAGAGCACCCTATTCTGTGCCATCCAAAATAGTTGATCAGATGGCACCTCCCCAGGATGAGACGAGAGTGCTAGAGAACAGCTGTTCAGTAGGCAAATCAAGCAGAAAAAAGCAATTACCTGACTGCAGAGGCACCTCCAGTTCTCCTAGAGGATTGCCCCTTAGATGCACAAAAGGAAAACTCTGAATCTCCGGAGGGATGCTTCGAAGCCTATTATTCTGCAGATCAAGTCTGGACAAGTGAGGTAGGCAGGCAAGGGAGGCAGGAACAGTTGTCAAAAGATTGCTGTGAAGATGCAGCTGCTGCAGAGACTGTAAATTGGCTGCAGGTCACAACGCAGATTAAAAATTGAAAGAAAACCTAGCCATGGTAAAACCAAATAAATACATACATTCACACACCTCTCTTAATCTCTACAAATTACAAATCCCTTTAGAAAACACCAGGGGTCTTATATCAATCCATCCCAATCTAGTTGTTATACATACAAAACAACCAACTAACCACGCATACTTGATTTCTTAGCTTTACAATACACTCACACTGGCACACCGATTATAAAGAACTATGAGGGGTCCTTGGTGCTCTCTGAGCTTGCTTGTTTTCTTGAAGACTTTTCATTACCCAAACTAGGTAACATCACCAGCATGTAGACCAAAATGGATATATACCCATACAAGGAACATCTAATTAATAAGGGTACAAAGGAAATCAGGTTTAGCCTGTTATATATTCAGGGTTATATAGCTGGTTGCAAAGATGCTATAAATGGATTATAATTATTATTTTAATCCCAGCTTTCTGCACAAGGTGAAGCTTCTCAGCCTCCTCAGTCAGTGTTTTTTGATAACCGGGGGCACTTCTTTTTTCCAGGAAGTGGAATAGGGAATCCATATCCTTTTCTTTAATTTGTGAACGGCTTACCAAGAGAACTGGGTATTCCTGTTAATTCATTTCCAGAGAGATCAAGTTCAGTGCAGTTGTGCAAGTTCCCAATCTCTTCGGGGAGTGATTCCAGTGCATTTTCAGAGAGATTCAGTGTCTGCAAGGCTGCCAGACCCCCAATGCTCTGTGGCAAACCTTTTAGCTGGTTCTTCATGGCAGAGAAAAAAGTCAGCTTGGCAAACTGGCCAAAGTCCTCAGGCAGCCTCTGTAAATTGTTGTAGTTGACTGAGAGAAAACTGAGGCTGGCCAGCTTAGTAATGCAGGGAGGTAAAATGGTGAAGCTGTTGAAGCTGAGATCTAGATGAGCAAGGCATTGTAGCTGCCCAAACTCTTGTGGCAAAGATGCTAGCAATCCTTTCTCATATGCACCAATGTCATCTCTGGAGTGTCCACCTGAAAGCAAGCAAAAGTGAAAACAAAGATGATGTTTGCACCACAGCAACTTCGTATAGACATGGTATTTACTTGAAATAATTTGCAATACAGAATGAAACATTAAGGAATGCACAGGAAGCTAAAGAATTTTGATGCATACAACAATATGATACAACTGTAGTGAGTGAACGTTTGGTGAGGTTCTCCTGTTTCTTTCAGGGTATAGTGGTAATTAAAAGACCAAGACAGAGATAGTTAAATTCTTCTTGAAAACCAGTAAGGGCACACGCAACCATTGTTTGGGCCTCTTGGTCCATTAACTCTTGAATAGCTCTCTAATGATACAATTTACTAAACTGGGAAGCTGCAATTGAGATAAGGGAATTATTTGGTTAATATTCAGCATTAACTCACTATTAATAGGTATATTAATAACTGTATTTCTAAGGTGTTATTTTAACTATTTACATAACAGGCAAAAATATTAGGCTCACATTCATATATGACTGAGTTGTATGACACTGACTTTAATAGGATACCACATTTGCAGATTTAACTTGTACATAATCTATGCAGAAATAAGAGTGTAGTTCTCTGAATATACATTCAGAATTAAGATCTAATGATTGCCATGACTTTACTTTAGGGAAAATAGGATAAAGATTCCAAACTTAATTAAATATTGAAATCTCCTCTGCACAAATGAAAGGGGGACGGGAATTAAGTAAGATACACTGTGCTTAAAGAACAGCATTAAACATCATCTACTGTGCTTTTACCAACATTTATACCCCTCCACCTGCTGAGCATCATTATTGAAAATATTGCTGGTTTTATGCAATGAAAGCTGTAAAAAGATGAAAGATGAGAAAAAACATGTCTTCCATAACAGTTTAGAAATTTTACACAACTGTTAAAATGAGTTCAGTATGCTGCATGATTGTGAAATCAAGATTCATATAAACTTTGGGAGGACAGAAATCAGAAAAATTGATTTCCCATTGATTTCGTATTTTTGCATGCTCTCAGTTGTGAAAACATCTGTATTTGACAGGAATGCTATCACAAATTGCAACCTTTTATCACAGAACCTTCCATCATTGCAGGGGTAATCCATGTCAGACAGAAAAATATTAGCAGAAAATTGTGGAGGTTTTTTCCCATTGAAGAACGCTAAGGCTACAAGGTTTCATATCATTATTTGCAAGTAAGCCCCTTTTAAGGAGAGTGAACAACATCTAAGTAAAGGCAGATGCCTCTTGCCACATAACTTTGTGAAGGAAACTGGTCATTCCTAGAAGCTACAAGAAAATGAACCAAACCATCAGGACAGAAGAAGAAACTGTGAAAGAGCACATTAGAAGCAGGAAGCTGAACAAAGTGGCCATATAAACGTGCAGTTACCTTTGAGCACAAGAGATTTCAAGCCCCGCAAAGCAGGGAGGCTGCTCAGGGTGGAAGTGATAAGGTCCTCATTGCAGTTCAGCCTCAAGAACTCCACCTGTTCTACTTCTTCTCTCCTGCTCTCCAGCAGCTTGAGGAACAAGCAGCAGCTCTCAGGATAGACGTCTAGGTTCAATCGGTTGCCAGCCAAATAAGAAATAGAAAATGCCTCAGCCCCCAAAGTGCCCTCCCCTGGAGGGTACCCGGGCTCTGGCAGTCCTGTCATCTTCTGGTTTTATATCACCATGGGCTATGCATGTTCTGACTTGCCAATGGTACTACAAATCATTAAAGATGGAAGAATGAGGCAGCCTCTGGGGAAAAGAGATGGGAAGAACATGAAAACAGTTTAGGAAATTATAGAACTGCACAATTAGTCTGGTGAAGAAAGCCACGGAGATTGCACCTGAGCAAGATGTCACTGACGAGTCCCGTCTTACAGGCATCCTTTTATTCAAGCACACATTTTCAAGTGATAATTGCTTTTACACTAAAAATAAGGAATTTCTTGTTGGCAAGAAATTATTGGATATTTCAAGCTTCCAGTGCTTTAAGTAATGGCTCCCTAATATAGTGAAACAGCCAAATCTTGTACAAATAATCTTCTTGAACAGATGAGGAACTGATAGGGCAATTAGCTAGAAAATATTAGGTGCAGTTTTTCTCTTACTAGCATGATTTCTATCTCAATTATGAAGCATATGGCAGCAGTGCTGTCTTTTATCACATTTCTCTTGTATTTTCGAGCAAAGAATCATCTTGTCAGCAAACGGTGCCAGGATGAATCCAGCAAATTAATACAATTACATTATTTTACACATTATATTGCATACTATAGAGCCAGTTTGGTCTAGTGGTTAAAGCATTAGGCTAGAAACTGTCTTATACTAGCCATACTGTCTTAACCATACTGTCTTAGCTATGTAAGCCGGTTGGGTGACTTTGGGCTAATCACTCTCCCTCAGGCCATGATGTCAGGCTCAGGCAATAAACTAATTGGTCAATTCCTGTTGTAACCAATGGATCAATGCTAGGTTGATCCTAAAAAAGTAGAACCCGAACTTGTGCGAAAATGCTAGGAATGAAAAAAAAAAAAAGGCATATCCAGATAGCCCTTGACTTTTGATTACAACTGGGCCCCGAATTTCGTTTGCTATGCAAAGTGTTTGTAAAAAAGTTGTGACCAATTTTATCTTTTTTGCCACAATCATTAAGTGAATCACCGTAGTTAAGCGAATAATGTGGTTGTTAAGCGAATCAAACTTCCTCATTGGTTGCTTGTTGGAAGCTAGCTGGGAAGGTCAGGATAATTATATGGTTTTGGATGCTACAACTTTGTCTGCACATGCTGGTTGCCAAGCACTGGGAATTTTGATTACGTGACCATGGGGCTGTTGCCATGTCAGAAGTGTTTGGACAGATCGTAAATTACTTTTTTCAGTGCCACTGTAACTTTCAACAGTCACTAAATGAATGACTGTAAGTCAAGGACTACCTGTAATATAATGTATATTTACTGAACAACAAGTCTCTGTTTCTTGTGATGTGTCTCAAGTTTGCACATCACTAAAGCCCCCAATTCCTTTTGTATATGATTTATTATTTCCTTTGCCAAACATTAGTTTCTTCTTTCATTAAACAGTTGTGGACAATGTTAAGGAAAAAAAGCCCCAAACTCGCATTTATTAATGAACTTCGAGTTAGTATGTCTAATCTAGAACAGCCAGTTTAGTGTACAGTTTAGTAGACACCATGAGATTGTGAGTTCTAGTCCTATTTTAGCCACAAAGACAACTGGGTAATCTTGAGCCAGTCACTCTCTCTCAGCTTTAGAAAGCAGGCAATGGTAAGCCATTTCTGAAAAATCTTGGTAAGAAAGCTCCAGGGACTTCTCCAGGCAGTTGCCAGGAGTCAAAACTTCATTGAAGGAACAACAAAACAACAAAATCCAAGACCCCTTTTACATGTTCTTGCTTATTCATTACAAGGTTTGCTTACCTAAATATACTTCCTGTTTTTTATTTTGACATCCTTTCTCAATTTGGTGCCCTCAAACTCACTGGGAATACCAAGAACAGGCCAGCATCAGGAAGTTGGGAGTTCAGGGAAGCATAATCTATGATCAGAGCCAAAGCTGAAAGGGTCTAAAGACAAGGCAGCATTCCCTTGGTGAGATCCTCCGAAGAGGTTAATAGAAGGGGTGAAAGGCAACACTGTGGGCAGAAGAAGCAAAGATCGGGAGGCAGCGTGGTTACTTTCTCCGTGTCTTTAGAAGGGTTCCGACTCTCAGATTCAGTCATTTAGTCAGAGTCAATCCTTTAGTGTTAAATCCTGTAGAATTATCTGCACACATCTCTGAAATACGTTTTTGGTCTTGTAAAATGCAGCTGTGGAAAAACAAAACCAAACCCCATAGCTCCTAGCGTGAGCATTTCCAGCCGTTGGTCCTGGAATGGGCTCCGGTTTTGAGAAGAGAATTGCTGGCAGGTATAGTGCCTTGCATAAATTCATGTTTATGTTTTTGATTTGTTTTACCTTAAGGCGAAGCAACTAGATTTTATTAATTTATTTTGTCATAACGTTCTGAGGAGGCGGGAAAAAAAAAAAAACCAGCAACTTTGGAGGAACTTTGCAGGAAGCAAGCAGAAAAGTTGCCCGGAAAAAGAAGCATGGTGAAAGGCGTCCTTTTAGGTCCACTCCCATATAGAGAAGAGAGGCTTTAACAGAAATTTCCATTCGGATTAGCAGTCCCTCCGATTGAACAATCCCATTCCTCAATTCTCACTGGCAAAAAAAAAAAAATCTTACCCAGCAAGGTCATTTTGTTGTTGTTTTGAAGTCATTTTCGTCCCGCTGTTGCTTAAAAAGAAGCCACGCTACTTTTGTGGAGGAAAATAGGTGTGTTTAGAATGCTGAACCGCTGCAGTCGATCGTCTGACGTTTGTACATCGCTGCGGACTGAAGCCTCATTTTTTTTCTCAACACTCGGGACTTTTTTTGTTAAAGGAAAAGATGCTCCCGTTCCTTCCCTGCATTCACAAGTCTTCTCACCCTGGCAAACTAAGGGTTACTGCGTTTTAACGGAAAAAGGAAGGAAGCAGTTAGCTTGCATGCCAAGGATCTGGTTAAGTGAATTCTACAATCACCTGCTTTTTGCGACAAAACTTAGCCGGTGTGAGAATTGATATCTTTGCTTTTCCAGGCTCAGCAATGACGAGTTAATTATGTTGCGATTTGTACGTCAGAGAGGATTTCAGATTTGTTATTAAACCAAACCCTAAGGATTCTGGACACTTTAAAGAACAAAAATCATCGAACATAAAGAAGAAACTCACTACAACCACGCACTCTTTAATATGATACAAAGACACTCTGAATTTTTTTGACTAAAATCATTTTCTCACAACCAGGAAGTTTGGTCGTTGTTGAAAATAAGTCATAAAACGACATGGAGGGGGGTTTTTTTTGTTCAATTTTACCCTATATTTAAAAGTAAAAACCGAACTTCTTGATTTTTTCCCCCAAATCAGGACAGTTAAAGACTGGATGTCAATATCCTGTAGAAAAAAAAAATGTGTCTTTTACACTTTTCTGAAATTTTGCATCTCTTTGCCACCGAACATTGCCAGAGTTTCTGAATGTATCTGATTGACTGCTGTGATATATGCAAAGTTCAAAAAAAAAAAACCCCTGTTAACAGAACCATAAGCTCCTTCCTGTGTTAAGACAAAAAGTGGGTCGATCAAACCAGATGCATTCAGCAGTTACAACAGGAAAGCCTTCTTCCACTTTCCCTACATAAGCAGCTGATATTTTTAAAAATATGCTGCCTGTGATTCAGGACATATTGTAGCCTATTAATAATAGAAGCCAAGCAATGATCAAGTTAATAGGTTTAGGATTCAGATCATTTCAGGTTAGTATTTCATTTCCAGCAGTTCAAACTATATAAAACTTCCCACTTCTCACCAGTAGGCCCCGCCTACCGGCTCGGGGACTACTATAAAAACCCCGCCCATGCAGTCGCCGATCTCGCCGTTTGAAGACTCGCGTTTCTATTGGCGGAACGCCTTCGAAGCTTCAAGTTAGCTACGTGATCTCGGATTGGTTGCTTTTTGCGCCCAATGTGAGAGACGATTGTTGCGGCGCTGGGCAGAACCTTAGTCTGTAGGCTCCGCCCTTTCTTTTTGGCTGTCGCCGTGTTAGGGAGCGTGCGGTCTGAGGCCTGGCCTTTGCGCCGACAACGAGGGGAAGTAAGTAACGGCGGACTGGAAGCCGGCCTCTCCGTCGCCTTAGTGTGCTCACAAGACATGTAGGGGTTCAGGCTTTGTTCCGCTGAGGGAGAATATATCTGCGGGAGAAAGGCCGAGAAATGTAGTTTGGGCCTAGGTTGCGGGGGGGGGGGGGCGGGAGTTGACATGGCGGCCATGTGCTTCTCGAATTGGCGTGAGGAACCGGATGGCATAATCACGGCGGTCTATGAAATAATAAGATACAGTACAAAGAAAGAGGGCTTGGATTAAGACACTGGCTTTATACAATACTCGAAAATGGGATATTAAAACACGGACTTTTGGAAAAAAATAAAGCAAAAGGGCTGTAGAAAGTGAGAACAGTATGTGAAGGAAAGCTTGTGTAAGGCTATGCTTGGCCCATCAGGGTCTGTACTTTCTCCTCTTTGGGGAAGAGAGACAGTTGCCCAAAAATACTTAGAAAAATAGAACCTCCTCTTTTAAAAGCCAGGCCCTTTACAGAGTTTAAACTGATTCAAATACTGTATCTGGATCAACGTTTTCAAGCTGCTAGTTTTTAAATGTGGTCGAGTATAATTTGTATTGTCCTTAGCATAGTGATAGGCAATACAGATCAGTACTGTCTTTTCCAATCTTCCTTTGAACTTGCATTCTCAATTTTTATTATATAGCTGGTAGCTTTTTATAATAATGAGCAGTGGCTTTCTAACTTCAATATTTTAAATACCTGTTATGCGATTCTTTAAAAATAAAAAGTAATAATGTCAGAATTAACAAAATACATGCTATACTTATCTTCCGGGATGTTGGATCTTTACTGCATAAAATTCCCAATCTTTAATTTTTAATATCCATATGTAGAGGAGATTGAACTGGAAAGGTTAACTTAGATCATATTTCATGCGAAGTGACTAGGGTTGGATTTTCAGTATGAGTACTATCAAAATTATGAGAGTAGTGTATATGTTCTTCAGGAAATTGGGACAGTATAGTCTTTGCCCTAGATTTAAGAAATATATGTTGCTGTTCAAATACACAAATGTTTGCTTTTCTCTTCACAGAATGCGTTACGTTGCAGCTTACCTTCTTGCTGTCCTTGGTGGCAATGAATCTCCAAGTTCAAAAGATTTGAAAAAAATTCTTGATAGTGTAGGCATTGAGACAGACGATGAACGTGTGAATAAGGTGAGACTAGATAAATAATATATGTATTATTCCTGTTTTCCTTGGCCATCATTTAGAGACACATATGAAACACTTATTTTGTAAGTGTAATCTTCACAGTTACCAAGTGGATGACATGAAAGTTTACAACATGTGTTCCTCATGGCTTGTTTTCTATAGAGACCCCTTGAGGTCTTGAAGACATCACACCATAACTGACTTCCACTATTCAGAACTAGTGATTTGGAGTAATTTAGCTATAATGTTATGTGTATTGTTGCAGTGGATTAAATATTTTCCTGAGTCTTGGAATGAAATATTAGACCTAATTTCCTTTTACTGGAATTGTATGTACCTGAGCAAAAGCAAAAAAAAAAAAAGCTTAGGTAGCCTATTCAGATCAGATATAGGGTAGTTTTTAATGCCTATTGAGAAATAAATTCCTTTGAGTTTAGTTAAAAGCTATTTCCAGGTAGATGAAATAGAACTGCCTGCAATACGATTGCCCTGCTGAAATCAGTTGCACCCAAGTTACTCATAATTAGCTGTTCATATTGATTTCAGTAGCCTTAAATATGATTTCGCCTGAATCCAACATTCATGTATTAAGCTAGGTTTGATTCATTATAATATATTGCAAAATCACTAGAAGGCTGAGCTGTCATAGTACATAGTTATAATGACATGGTTTGATTGTCTTAGTTTACTGTGTTGTAATTCACCTATTATGGTTTATAAATCAGTTTGTGACTTAGTGACAGACTTGTTTTTATTAACCATCATTGTGAAATATTTTTTTATTTAAGAAGGAAAAGCTATAGATGAATAAGTGCAATATTGTTATTGCCTGCAAAAACAGCTTTTATTTGTTGAATTCTGTTAGGTTGAGGACATTTTCTTCTCTCACTGTTACATTTCAGGCTAAAGCCTGTAAACTACAAATGCCTTTTCCAAAGAGCAGTCCGAGTAACAATAACTATCCCTCCATGAAACAAGATGGGACTGGTTTTGTTACTCAGCACAGTGAAAACTTTCCTTTTCCTAAAGGTGGGACAGATGAAAGACTTAAGAGATCAAAACTTGCATCCTGTACACAGCCAGTGATAGCTGCTTCTGTAATATCCTATAAGTTCATTTAAATCTTATTTAAAGTGGGATGATTTAATTTTCTTCTATGTCTTGCTATATAAAAATACTTTAATTTCTGTTTTGAAATTTATATATAGCTTAGTATTGTGCTTTCATATTACTAAAAGGTGATCATTGGAATTAGTTAATTTATTTGCAGTATTCACCATCAGTGAAGACTCCATGAGTTATAAGAACAAAGCAGAGTAAAAGAGTGAATAAATATAAAATGTCCAATATACATATTATAACCAGTGTAGTGGCCATCCACTATTACCCAAATTCAGAGGCATGGGATGGGAATGGGATGATGGTAAGTCTTACGGAATATGCTTGGAAGGATGCTGCCAAATGTGACCCAAGAGGGAGCCTGTTACAGTACATGGGGGCTATTACTAAAAAGTCCTGCCAAAGTACTTTAAGGTTAAGTACAATTTCAATATTACATAATGCATCCAAGGGAGATGATAAGGTTATTGTGGCACAGTGCAGCTGCTCCCAGGTTGACACACTAAAAACCAATTATTTTTTAATATTTGTATTACATACAACAAATGATATGTAAACAATTTGCTCAAAGTTTTAATTAGTAAACAGCTGTAGATTTTTTATTCAATAATTATCTATTTTTCCAACTGATTATATCATGTAAAAAATAGATTTGCAAATAAAACACTTTCCTTTGCTGCCTTGATTCATAAGCCAATGAAAGAAGCCATATTGATCTTGCTGTTACTCTGCTTCAAAGTGCTCAGGCTAAGTTGTTACTGTCCATTAAATTGGAATGTTTAATTGAATAAGATTCATTTGCCAGCAGCCCTATTTAGCAACCATTTGAGGTTACAAGGGTGGTGAAAAAGTAACTTTACAATCAGTCCTCATATTTACAACCATTGTAGCATCCCCACATGCTTTACAACTGTTCTCACACAAGCAAAATCAGTTGCAAAGTTGGCAGTAAGATTGCAAATCATATGTCTCACTTAATGACCCAGAGTGACCTACATAATAACCAATTGGAAAGTGAGATAACTGTCACATGTTTTGTTTGGCAGCGGTTCCAGTTGTAGCTACTGAGCAAGTATTATCCATGATATATTGCTCAGTCTCTTAAATTGCACTATCAGTTTAAATTTTAAAAAAATCCAGAAAAAAGCATTGCTTATAGTTAAAAATTTGTTTTAAAACTACAGCCTGTTTACATGTGTGCTGTAATATTTCCAGGGTAGATTGTACCACTGAACTTTCTAGTCCGCTCCCCCGAGTTTTTGTTTATTGGAAGTTGCCAAACAAGGTCAGAAGGCTCTTAAAACTTTTGGAAATATGTGCATGATTTTGTATAGGATATGATTTTTTGATTCATATATTTTAGCATTTTTCTTATATATGCTAGTTTTCAACATCTCTTGCTGATGAATGCTCATCTCTGAAGTATCAATGAATTATTTAACTAAACTATTATGGAATGTAGTTTAGATAGCCAAGAGTAACATAGATATTCCTTGCTTTATTTATTCCTTGCTTTGAGGAGAATATAGGGAGTGATAATATTTAATGTTTAGATACAGACAAACAAGATACAGTTCTGTAGAAATACCTTTGATATAGAAGAAACAGTGGATGGAACCTGTTGCTTATTTTGATAACTATTGTGAGTTATCCTCCTTTATGTTTATTGTGATTGTATTTGTAATCTGCTTTATAGAGTTTAATATTGGGAATTCGCAAATTATTGCTCTGCAATATGTACAAGTAGTTTAAGTGATTGTTCCCATCCTAATAGGAGATAGTCACGTTTTTTTTTTCAAGAGCACAGATGCAGCAGCACCATGTTCATTATTATTAGATTTTTATACCACCTTTTTAATATAATGCAATAAACATATCTAATCCCTCTGCCTCCTATTTTCCCACAACAACCCTCTGAAGTAGACTGGGTTA